ATGGATTGAGTAATGGGCACGATGGGTTTTTACTGAGAGGAGCTCTCAGCAGACTTACAGCACATATTTTGACAGGGGGATGAATGTTCTGGGTTACATCTAATAGCAATTTAATGAATATTTTATTAAAATAAACTTAGTTAATGCTTTGTGGCTGCGTGGAGCAGTAACTGCCTACAAATCTGTGGTTGGGAAAGCTCCAAGCTCATGGCAAATTTCCTGTTCCTAGAGCAGATCTTCTTTCTCAGCACCATAAGGCCAGAGGGACACATGCTGCTAAATCTTTGTTCTGCAAGTGAAAACGAGTGCATGGTTGTGAGGAAAACATTTGGTTTCTACTGTTGAGAAGTGAAATTTCAGCATGATGAAATCCTGTGCTGGTGCCAAGACAGTGTCTGAGACAAGTGGAAAATTTCCAAGCTTTGAGACTTTCAGAAAATTCCACAAATAAAATCCCACATCCCAGTTTATTGGGGATGCAGGGCTGCACTTTGGGGGAGTGGGGGTTTTTTCTTCCTGAGCATGGGCTTGGTGTCCCAAGTGTCTCCAGCCCAGATTAGAGAAGCTTTCTTGCAAGTTGTTGCATTTTTAAAAGTTTTCCTCAAACCTCCCTGGCTTGCACATGAGGTTTGACACTAACAGGATGAAAAGCCCACCACCTTTCCACCATGCAGGCAGTTCTGGTCTGGCTGTGTTATTATTATCCGTAAAAACCCCACAAATTCCCTCAAAGTGACACTTAAAATTAACAGGAGAATATTGTCAGGGTGATTAACACAGACAAAAGGAGGAAGGAAGAAGGAATTGAGGAGGGTGAGGTGGGATGAGTTTTCCCTTTGATGGATCTGTGTCTCATCTGCAGTTCCAGCAGTCACAGTGGGAGTTTTCACTCTGTCATAATTATGTGGCAGCAATCACATTTTCTTTTAGAATAAACCTTCATCTCCTTCAATTTTCAAGTATTCTATGCTAAACTGAGGAAAACCAGGTTACTAATTAGTACTTGGAGTCAGCCCAGGGAACAAATCTGTAGCCCAGCGAAGTTGTTTGCAGCTGTGAGGAAAATCCCCACATTTCTCCCTACTCCAGTTTAGTGGATGTCAGGATTTTCAGTCACAGCATCCTAGTCAAAGGGAGTGGAGTGAAGCTCTGGAGTGTGAGAACGTCCTTGTGCTCTGTGCTCACTGCAGTGCAGAGAGAAGGGGCCAGGAGGGACAGCAAGGAGTGGGATTCTTCTCTCCAGGGAACAAGAGATGATGCCTTCACTTTCAGCTTTCACATTTTCCAGGCTCTGTACTGCATTGGTACAGAGCTCTGAACTCCATGTAAAGTGTCAGCAGCTCTCCTCACATCTCAGGCACACAGGACAATCCTTTTCCAGCCCAGAACCAGGACAATCATTTTCCAGCCCAGAACCAGCTCAGGCACACTGAACAATCCTTTTCCAGCCCAGAACCAGCTCAGGCACACTGAACAATCCTTTTCCAGCCCAGAACCAAGGACACCGCTGCAGCTCCAGCCCCAAAAAGTGCAAACAGCAGGAATGGAGGAGAGCAGCCTGGGAGGGTGGGACTGCATCACCTGGAGCTGGAATTGGACAATGAACCCCAACATGGAAATGGACCCAAACTCATAAAAGTGTCAAAACTGGTGACCAGGAGTCCACCTGGGGTGGAGCCACGGCCGGGCTCTCACACTGCCCAAGGTGTATCCTGTGAAGGCCTTTCCATAAATCCCTGCTTTATTCCTGTAACAGTCCAGGCTCTGCTCCAGGCAGCCTCTCGGGCACCAGAGAGAGCTCAGAGCAGCCACACGCTGCCATTCCCGGCTTCACATCTTCCCAACAGCGTGGAGGGGATTACAGCCAACGTTTGCACATGGAGCACAAGGAAAATGGGAGATGAGGATGTGGTGGCAAACCCTGGAAGGGAAAAGCAGAGCTTTGGAAGGCTCCAGACCCTCCTGGCTCACCCCCCAGCCCAGCAGGTCGGGATTAGGAAAGATTTGCCTCAAATTCACTCCATTTGAGGAACCATCTGAGAGTGTGGCACCTGAGGCTGTGGTCAGGCTGCATTTGGGGCAGGGTGGATGAGTCTCCTCATGGGGAAGGGTAAGTCTTTATTCCTTTTGATTTGAGCAGGAAAGTCATCCTAGCAGAATTTCACTATGTCAAGATGTTGGAACATTTTTATTAAAGAATTCTTACCATAGAAATTAGCTTTAATTTTTTTCTAGCATAAGGAAAGAAATGGCACCAACATCCTCCTTTCTGGAGGAGCCATCCACTGTATTTAATTTCAGAGCAGTTTTACATGCCAGCAACAGGAATTTAATTACTATCTCCTTTTCTAATTAATTTCAATAACTTTAATTATAATTTTCTGCAATGGTCAATGTTTTGGACACTTCATGTAATTATAAGGGATTGCTTTGTGATTTTGCATTAATGAATATTCACTGGTTATAGGAATCTCAATATCTCTTATCATCAAAATGTTTGAGAATCAAATTCAGTGATAGCTTAAAGCTGGGTTGCAGAGCCATCATTTTGCAAGTCATTGAAGAAATAAGAAGTTCCTGTTGTGTTGCAGCAGGAGATGGACAGCTCAGGAATCTGTTTTGCTCAGTGAAATGGAAAACATGAAAACACTAACCCAGAAATTAATTAGAAATGGGATGAGACACAAGAATGAGCCTTGAATTTTAAACATATTAAATTGGAGGGAACGAGTAGTTCCTCTTCATCTTCTGGGTTCAGATAAAGGGGGAGGGAACAGGGCAGGGAGGAGCTGAAGTTTGAGCAGGACTCAGCAGGAGGACCTTGGCTCAGGCCCCCAGTGTTTATTTGTGAACAGAAGCAATAATTGATATTTCTCCAGCTGCACAACTGCTCTGCATCTGTTATAAAATCTGGGCAGTATAGCAAAGATTTTGGTATTTATAGATCCATAAATCCACTTAGGATAATTCTTGAGGTACCTTTTGCTGCTTTGCTCTTGGTGCTTTGAAGTGACTTGAAAATAAATTTACAAAGAGCTCTGAAGTGGCAAAGTGAGGCTGTGACAGCTCTGGAAGTTGCTGGGGTTTGTTTTGGGGTGATGGTGGGGGTTTATTTGTTTCATTTTGATGGAATGATCCATTGGGTACATTTGCTTACTTCAGTCTCTGGGCTCAGTTCTGTCTCCTGGGTTTTGCACCACGGTGGGTTGCTTAAAAGCCAGAAATAAAGAAAAAGAGGTTAAATTTGTCAAACTGCAAAAAGAAGGAGGAGGAATGCTGGGAAGGGCAGTGAAAACAGAGGTTCTCAGAGATTCCTCTTAGGATTTTATTTGGGAATGGTGAAAAAGGTGCAATCAGGAGGGAGCTTTGACCCCGCTCTCCCAAAGCACTTTGGTGTTTAATGGTGGTTCCATGAGCAAAGAGCTGCTCTGATTGATGCCAGTTGTGACTGCAAGTAGACCTGGCCTAATTCAAACCTGGTTTTGTGAAAAAGAAAGGTCTGTGCTACAAGAAAATGCTTATAAATGTGAATTGATTTCCTTGTCTAACAGTGAAGACTTTCTAACAACAGTAAACATTCGCTGTGTGGCTCTGAAGAGTTTCCCCAGTGGTTGTTTTTCAGCCACTCAGGAGCTCAGCTGGCTGTACCAGATCCCACAGGGAACTTGTTGGCATCTTGTGCTTGGGTTTATGGCTCCCTCACGTCAGTCAGGCTCCAGTTTTTCCAAGTTTTAGTGGAATACCAACAAAATATGTCTGAAACCGAGTTTGGCACAAGCAGTGAAAGGGTGTGAGAACGAAGTTATGTTTTCATGAGAACAAGTGTTCTGTTATGAAGTGGAGATAAATAATGAGGACAAACATTGCATTAAAAAAAAAGAGAAGAATTTAATGAGCTGGAATTGTGGTCAGTCTCAGGAAAAGCTAATTTTTTTCATATTTTATTAATTGCTGGTAAATGACTGCTTGAAAGCATTGCCCAAATTTATATCTGATGTCTTGCATGCAAGTATTGATTCAACATTCGTTGAGTCACAGTCTGCACTTTGCTTAAAATAGGTTGCAGGTTGATATGGAAATTTACAGCCAATTTCCAGCCAGACTGGTTGTTCTTTCTTATAAAACATGCTGATTATAATTACAGACATGGATTAATACAGCCATGATCCACATTCTTCCTGATGAGCAGGGAGGTGAACATTCCATTCATGGAAACTCAATCACAGCAACTTTTCCCATTCCATTCTCAAGTGCTTGGTCTAAAGAATTTGCAGGGAGGAGAAATTCCCCCATTCCTGCTTGGGTCCGACTTTCTGGGCCAGGAATGTTGGACCTGCAGCTCATCCTGGCCCAGGAGGATCTGCCCTGCAGGGTGAAATGCTGGAATTCCAATTCTAGGAACAGCAAATGCTGTTTGCTCTGCTTTGGAGCAAAAATGGAGAAAACGAGAGGCCAGTGGTGGTGTCCCTGAAATGGGAGGGAGATTCCCCTTGGAGGGGCTGGCTCTGGGTTCTGTCACCTCAGGAGGTGTTTGGGGAGCAGCACCAGGGTGTCCTGCTGTCCCTCCTGTTCGATCCCTGCCCAGGGACCTGAGCACAGCCCTCAGCTGTTCCAGAGAATCCTGGAATACCCTGAGCTGGAAGGGACCCCCAGGGATTATCCAGCCCCAAAATCCCACCCTGGGCATCCCTGGAGCTCTGCCCAAACCTCCTGGAGCTCTGGCAGCCTTGGGGCCGTGCCCACCCCTGGGGAGCCTGGGCAGTGGCAGCACCCTCTGGGGAAGAACCTTCCCTGAAATCCAGCCAGCATGTTGGGATGGATTTCAGGGAAATGTTCTCCATTTTTGCTCCAAAGCAGAGCAAACAGCATTTGCTGTTCCTAGAGCTGGAATTGCAACGAGCTCCAGCATTTCACCCTGCAGGGCAGATCCTCCTGGGCCAGGATGAGCTGCAGGTCCAACATTCCTGGCCCAGAAAGTGGGACCCAAGCAGGAATGGGGGAATTTCTCCTCCCTGCAAACGGCACCAGCAGCACAGCTCCAGCCCTCCCTGGGCCCTGTCCTGTCCTGGGGAGAGCAGGAGCTGCCCCTCGGGAGCTGCTGTTCCTCTCTCTGTAAACATCTCATGCTCAGACATTTACAGATGCACAACTGCACCATGGAATGCGACCTCCAGCCCAGCACTGGCCACAGAAACTCCTCCTGCTCCAGCTCATCCCCTGAACAATAAAACCTTGATTTACAGCCCTGAGGAGCAAACCCAGCAGGCTCTGTCTCACTGAGAGCATCTGGGGGACTGCTTGGTCTGAGGGAAGGGTTGATGGAGCTGCTCACGCTTCTGCCTCCTCCCAGCCACCCTCTGGCTCGTGGAGAGGCAGAAATTTGGCACGGATTTCCCTCCTGGTGCACTGCAAAACCAGCAGTCAGGGCAGGAAATCCCCCTCAGCTCCGAGGGTGGTGGGTTTTAGCACCAGACCTCCCTGCAGAAGGATGTGAGCAGTTCTCACAGCCTGACTGAACACCAGGAGAGAAACCCGAAGCTGCTGAGGAAGGAAATCTGCTGCAGCCACAGTGAAACCCTGTTCTGAGCTCAGCTTGCTCCGCATCAGTGCTGGAATTGCACCCAGCAGTCGCTGAAAGGCCATCGCAGCATTGAGGCAAGCTGATCATTTGCTTTTTCAGATAAATATAGATATTTTGGCCAAATGAAGATTTTTCTCATCGTTCATGAATTTACAGTATTTAAGCAAAGGGATGGAATGTCCTGCAGCCCTGACAAGGATACAGTTTCATAAATAACCCTCTTGACGTGGATGAAATGAACATTTTTTGAGGTTTGGGGTAGCAGGGAATTTATTTGCTTGTTTTAAGGCAACCAGGTCTCTTATTTTCCCTCTTACCAATGGGTAGAACATTTCTGCTGGCTTCTCTGCTCATGTCCCTCCAAGCTAGCATTCCACAAAGCTTTTCCACACCTTTGGCTGCAGGTGAGGGCTTCCAAAATCCCGTAGGATTTAATTGCAGTGGAGCAGATAATGAATTGATAATGAAATGAAACAGGGAATACACCATGAGCTGCAATTATGATTTGTAATCACTCAGAATCTTTGTGCTGTAAATCTCTATCTGCAATATACACAGAAATTTATTGTGGATGAAGGAGCCTGAGAGGGTTCTCTAGCACAGGGAGGTTTTTTTTCCTGTTAAAGCAGTGACAGTCTCAGAGGCACAGAGACAAAACAAAGATTTGCAGTGGAGGAGCTGCACTGAGCTGAAATTCCTCTGTTCTGTTCATGTTGTTGTGCTCTCCTGCCTTCCCCATCCCTCCCAGCTGTCTCCAGTGACACTTTGCAATTTTTTTTTCCACTCTTTGATTGGTTTTCTGGATTGTCTGAGGCAATTGCTTGAATTCTTTTTTGGCATGTGTTGTTTTTGCTTCTCAGTTAGGTTTATCTGACTTTTTTGGCTGGTAAGACACTGCTGTTTTCTCCCCAGCTATTTTTACAATGTCTGCTTCAAAAGAAATACTCTGTGTCTCTGCACCAGGAGCTTTCTCAGCTCCTTTTAGTGACAGAATGGTGCAAAGCAACAGTTTTTGAATGGCCATGTGACCATCCCAGGAGAACTAAACAGAACAAAATGTCTTAGTGAAAATAATTTTTTTTTAATTTAATCACCAGCTGCACACTGCAGATCAGTGAGGGGCATATTCTTTTAAGTCACAAAAGTTAATTGCAGTCAAAGAGTGGCTCTGCTTCCAGCTGCAGGAGTTGGTCTGGAATGAGTGGGCAGTGGCTCAGGGCCTGGGCTCCCAGTGGCTTTTCCAGAGGGAATGTTCATCAAAAGGCAAAGCACAGCTCAGGGGCTGAGCACTAAACAACCACAAACAGGAAATGAAATCAAACAAACAAACCAAAAATGAGATGTAAGAATCAAAGAGCCCAAGCAAGCACAAAAAAAGGTGTCTGTGCCCAGATTGTCTGCGAGCAGCCAGAGGTTTCAGAGGGGCATTGCACACTTGCTGAACAACGCAAAGTGCAAAAAGAGAGTCTTGGTCAGGGTTGGCAGGTCAAGGCATGCAGGGGCAGAAAGGTTTGGATGTGGGATGAGTTTGGGTGGGAGCTGCTGCTGCAGGGACTGCAGGGCTTTGTTTCAGCCAGGGCTGCTGAGAGCAGCAAACCTCCCCAGCCCAGCCCCAACAGAGCCAGGGGGATCTGTCCCTGCTCCTCTCGGTGTGTGCCATCCCCATCTTCCCTCCAGCTGCCTCCAGGGACACTCTGCAATGCTTTTTGCCAGTCTTTGGGGCTATGTGATTGTTTGAGGGGATTATTTGGGTTTTTTTTTTTTTTGAATAAGTGTCATGGAAAGCTGCCCTCTCACTATTTGCTTTGGTTCCTTGCACTAGGAATTTGTGGAATTAAGGAGCTGTGGATTAACCAAAAGTGTATGTAATCTCACAGCTTCTTCAGCTAAATCCTGAGCTCTCAGAGTCTGTATTTAAAGTCATGAGGTCACCACTTTTATGCAGTTCCAAGAACACATAACGTGTTTTTTTCCAACCCAAATCCCTTTTTTGGTGTTGCCCTTGTAAATCCTTGACAACTGGACTAACAACAGTGTCATTTGGAGTGAGTGACAGCTGGACATAGGAAAAGGGAGGGAATATTTTGGTGTCACTGGCATAGAGTAGAGACAAGATGTACTTGAGTGAAGCAGCTTCAGAGGAGCTGCCTGAGCCGAGTCCCAAACACCTCCTGCAAGGCAGGGCAAGGCTCTGTTTACAACACAAATTGGTTTTTAAGTGATGCAAATTGCTTTGGAAGCTGCTGTTACCTCACACTGTGCAAGAAACCCTCCAAGCCTGGCAGTGTCTCCTTTTCCTTCCCACAAACTCATCCTGCCCTGGGATTCCCTGTTCCTCACAGCCAGGGGCACTCGGTGCTCTGGGGCTCTCAGGCACAGGGTCCCTCAGAGCAGAGCACAGCCAGGATGTTCCTGTGCTTTCAGAAGGGAGATGAACATCTGGGCATTCCTGTGTAGCAGGGGGATTTTTATCCTGGGTGCTGTGTGGGAATTCTGGGGATAAATGAGTTTATCCAGTGCCTCGTGGTCCCTGGTGTCACATCAGCTGATTTGGGGTAACTCAGCCGTGTGGGGCTCCTTGGTGCTCTGCTTGCAGAGATGTGAGACTCAGGTAGGTGAGAAGATGAAATTTTCCTGTAGCTCAGGTGGTTTAGTGGGGTCTCACTTGTGGCTCGTGGCTCCTGTCCTGCCAGTGCCCCAGGAGCTCCATCTCAGCTCTCACACCACTCCAGGAGCTGATCTGATCCAGCTCAGCAAAACTCAGCCAGATTTGGAACCTGCTGCATTCCCAGTGCCCCCCAGGTGGAAACTTCCAGACCCAACCATGCCCAGAGGGTTGACTCTCTTTTTTTCTCAAATACACAGAATTATGTACTCAGTGCCAAAAGCCAGCTTGGATATTTTGATTTATTATGCATTTTCCAGGTGAAATCCAGAAGGGATAATGCTGGTTGATGTCAGATAATGTGGGATATAAATGGAGAGGTTTCTCTCTGAGGCTTCTCTTGTTTGCTATCAGTGAGCAGCAGTTTTCACCCTACCAGGCAGAGGAGATAAAGTAAAAAACCACCATTTCCAGCCTGCAAAAGCCCAGCCTATGTGGAATCAGCTCAATTATTTCAACTCAGTCTGCAAGGAAAAGCAGTTCCTATCTCAGAATTACAATTACATGGGAACGTGAACTGCAATTTCTCTCCTTATTAATGGAATATAACAATAAAATATGGACAACGACGATGCATCAGTTCCTGGGGATTTGAAAAAACTCTTGGCATGAGGGATCTTTAAACATAATCTGGCTTTATTTCATTATTTTAATATCATGCCTTGAACTGAGATTGATCTTGTTTGAGAGTACTGATGCAGCATTTAGAGCGATAACACAGAACATTTCACAGGGGAAATGCTTCTCATAACTTGTCACTAACTGGGTCCCAAAATCCAGGGACACTTTGTGCTAATTACTGAGCATTGCCATTAACAAAGCCAAACCCGTGCTCTGAAAAATGAGTTCAGAACCCAGGAAATTCATAAAATGAACTTAAGGCACCAAACCAATGAAAAAAACCCAATGGAGGATCTTTTTTGCTTTGACTTTTTTTGAGTTTTCACATTAAGCAGTGTTAGATATAAAAATATTATCAACTAAATTGTTCTTATTTTCCTGATTGAGAAAATGGTTTTATTTTCCTGATTGAGAAAGAACTGCTCTGAGTGACGAAGCTGACCAGAAAATGCAAGTTTTTTTAAAATGCACAGTACTCTAAATGATTAAATCAATTTTGGTGGAAAATTTGCAAGGCAAAAAAAAAATCAATCCAATGTAGTGACTCCATCAAGGTAAACACGCCCAGGTGCTAACTGAGCCTGAGCTGCAGGTCCTGGTGCTGAGAAGGAAAATTACTGCAGATTAAAATATTGCTGCAACTTCTTAACACTTCCACAAAGCTACAGCTTAATTCACCAACAGCTTCAATGTCACAACCTCATTTTCCAAACCCCAGCTCCACCTGATTTAGATATCTGATCATAAAAAATTCTGTATTTAAATGTGGGGTGTTGCACGAATTAATTCTGGTTTAATTCTTCCCATTTTCTTTCCTTTCCCAACCACCCCTGTGGTCCATTATGGACCAGAAGCCCTTTAAATATCCAGATTTACTCCATGGTAGGCTCTGCTCTGGCCTGGGGTTGCTGCTCTCCTGGGCACCAGAACAAACCCAAAAACTCATCTGCAGATGTGGATCAAAGGTGGAGGCATAAACCAACTCTAGTTGTGCTTATTGGCAAAGCAGGACTTAGAATATTCCAGATTTTCCAGATTGCTGCCCCAAAACAATCAATGAAGGAAAAGAACACTCATTTTGGAGATAAAAAAAAAAGCTGCTGTGTGAGCACAAAGTGAGCTGCAGAAATCCTATTGATTGATCTGCTTGTACCTTGAACTGTTTGCAGAAGTGCAGGGTAAGAACCTCAGATATGAGCACTTTCCATGGAAATGCCTGTGCAAAGGGAGCATTTTGAAATATTTGTTGTGGTTTGTATTGATTTTTAAAGATGCCAAGTGGTGCCAGACAGTGGCATGGAAAGCTCTGCCACCTCATTAGGCTGTTTCTAATTAAAACAAAACAACCAAGAGAAGCTGCCCTCTTTCTCCCTGCATGCCTCAGGCCTGAGGAGCTCTTTGGGGTCCCTGGGTTGGGATTTTGGGAGCTGCTGAGGAGGAATGGATGTGTCACTGAAGGTCCAGACCCCAAACCCTTTCTTGGCACCTCCAAAGCCGCAGCTCCAAAAATTTCCAGGTTAAATCTGAAGCCCAGGAGCTGCCAACACTTCTGAATTTCAGCTTAGCCTGAATGACTCTCATTTAGGGCAGCCTGGGGGAGCTTTTCCAAGGCAGGAAAAGCAGGAGAAGCTCTCCAGGAAAATCTGGGGATGTGGGGAGGGCTGGGGATGTTCATCACTCGGAGCCCAACCCAGCACAGGGAAGCTGAAGGGTTTCCCACCTCTCCTTTGCTGTGAGCTCACACCTGGCTCAGAATTAAACCCAGCACTACAAACAAGCTCCTGGTGTTGCTGGTTTTGATAAAGGAAGAGAATTGTGCACATTTTATTCCGGTTATCTCATGGAAAAGGGTTGGATGGGATGGGTTGTTTAATTCCCCACAGCTGCCTCCCAATTTTAGCACATTCAGCTACAACATCCAAAGACTTGATTTATATTAATACATCTGATATTAAGAATGATATCATCAGACTAAAAAAATTGATACAGGCTTGAAGAAGCAGCTGACCCTTGTGCTTTATGGTATAAATTACCTTGGGAAGAAGGAAGTTGTTTGTATTAAGATTTCTTGCACCTTTCTCTGTTGTAGCAGGAGAGTTTTATCAGCTCATGGCCCATTAAAAACCTATTTTTAGAACCAAATGTTCTCCCTCTCCACCCCCTGGGCTGCCCTGTCAGACTGAAAGTGTTCTCTGGGAAATAAATCCAAGTGGGCTGATTCACTGTGCACAAGTGTGGCAGAAATCTGAGCTCAGGCTCTGCCTCTGAGGCCAGCTCAACTCGTTTGACCTTTGGCTCACATAAAATATTGTTTTTTCCTTCCTCAATTGTGTAATAAATAAAGGATCAAGGAGTGAAGAATTGCAAATAATGTTATCAGGGAGAGTTATGGGATCCTGAAGCAGCTTCTGAGGGATCTGGTGCTTCTTCATCAAGGGCCACTAATGAGGAGTTGGTGTTTGCAGCCTTGAGTTCCCTCCAATCTGGGCAGGATAAAATCCCATGAACTGCTCTGGGCTGGCTCAGGAGTGTCTGATCTGATTGATATTCCCCATTTCCAACATTTCTGAGGGAATCTGTACCCAAGGAGTTTGTACAGAACCCCCAGAGGAGCTGTTCCACAGCTGTGAGAGGTAGAGGGTGGGATAGAGGGAATCTGGCCCAGGAAAAAGGAGTCACCAGAAATTCCTGCTTCACTCTGGAGCAGAACAAACCTCCCCCTCCTTCATCCTCCCTCTGATATCTCCAGTATTTTCTGCTGACTTCAGGCACAAACAGAAGTGCCAAGGCTTTGTCATTTCATCAGCTGCACACAAGCTAGTTCTTTATTTGATAGGAAGTGTTGGGATGTAAAATCACCAGAAATCTTGACTTTGAGATGTTCACTCACCACAAGAGGCACAAATCTGGCCTTGGAGGAAAGCCCCCAGGAAAATTCCCGGGCCAAAAGCCAAAATCTCTTCATTCTTCTTGACATGTTTGTTCACAGTCTTAATTTAATGAAATCTAAGGGGACTCATTAATGATTCCAGTGCTTTTGTCTCCTCTGTCTCCATCAGATAATCCTCCACCTACCCCTAGTCCCACTTGAAAGCCATTTTTGTAATTAATTTTCTAAAATAAATTTATTTAATTTACACACCATTTACTCTGCTTCTCTATTGTCTAATGAAGTAAAAAAAAAAACCCAAAAAATGGGATTGAAATGAACTTGCCAGACAATGGAACTGTTTCTCGACTTGCTCTTCTGATAAGAGTTTATTTGGTTTGTTTTCGTGAATCTTTGCCTTTGTTCTTTGGGTTAACCTGGGGATTTTCAGCACAGGGGGAGCATAAAATAAAAGTAAGTCTCTTATAGCCAGGGCTGGAATCCCCTTAGTTTGGGAATACTGCACAGAGCTCTCCCCTTTTTAAATTTCAACCTTCAGGGGGCAAGCAGGCTGTAAAATATGACATTATTTATATGCACAAGCCCATTGGGCTTTCTTTGGATTTCCTTCTGCAAATCAGGTTGCTGGTTTTCCTATTACTATCACATTAATTAAAGACTGTTAAGATAATTAATATGACATTAATGAAAAGGTGCTGCCCACTCATTAATGGCTGCTCAGCTGATGAATGTCTGTATTTCCAGCTCTCCTGACATGGATAAATCTGGATCAGTCAAGGACTGGATCAAGCAGAGCCTTCAGCCCCAGGTAAGGCACAGCTGCAGCCATGGCATTGCTCTGCCCTGTGCTTTTCCTGCTCCGGGCACGAGCAGATGCCAAAACCCCACAACCCGGCCTTGAAATCAGAAATGTTTGCCCAGAGAGGAGGGAGAGTCCCCCTGAGCAGGCACAGCCCTGGGAGCTGCTCTGCCTGTGAGTCCAGGGCTGCTGCTCTGAGGGGTGGCATGGCATGGCACGGCATGGCACGGCATGGCACGGGTGTCTAGGTTTGGAAAGACAGGTGTCTGCTAAGGAAGGCAGGAACCTCCCCTGAAATGGAAAAATGTATACCCCTTCTCTCCAAATTATTATAAATTTGAAATTAAGGGGGGCTCTCAGGCAAAAATATGGGAGCAGGAATAACAGTTCTTTATTAGGGAAGAAAAGAAACAGATAAAATAAACAATGCAGTGAACCAAAACAACACTGACAGTCAGAATACAACCTGACACCCGTTGGACAGGTTGTTGGTAGAAGAACAATGGGAATTGTGGTTGCAGTCCTGCTGGAGTGTCAGCTGTGGTTCTGTTGGAGCAGTGATCCTGCAGAAAAGGGTGAAGTCCTTTTATGAAGAGGCAGCTGTTCCTCTGGGAAATCCAGTGCAGAAAAAGCTGTGCTGGTGTTCCAGAAACTCCAGATTATGTCCAGGTAGGAATGCTTGGCTCCTCCCTCTGGGCAGAGCATCCCCCAGTGGAATGTTCTGGCTCTCATCAGTGACATTCAATGGCCATTATCAGCAGATGTCTCCCCGGAGGGAGGGTTGGTTGTGGAAGGGATAAGGAAAAACTGCTCACTGAACACAGGACAACTGCTACACAGATGGCAAATGGAATATATTGTAAATGCAGGTGAGCCTGGTGGGAAGAAATGCTGATGTCTGACTCCAGTTCAGAAGGTTGAATGAGTTCTTTATTATAGCTATACTATAATACATTAATATACTATTTAAAGGAAATACTAAAACTACAAACCTACTTTTTCTAACTCCCATATCTAACTGACCCCATCAGGCTCCAACAATCCTCACCAGAATCCAAAATCCAACCAAGCAATCACCCCAGGGAAACAATTCTCCAAACACACTCCACATGGGGAAAACAAGGAGCAGAAATAGAAATAGTTTTCTCTTTCTTTCCTCTATGCTCCTCTATAAAAAATCCTGAAAGGGAAAAAAAAAGTGCCTACCACAGGAATACATTTTGCTTTTCAATCTGGGACAGATGGGACGGGCTGAGCTTCCTCCCAGCCCCAGCTGGGCTGGATCCCCCAGCAGGGGCACCCCCAGATGTGCCTGGCACGCACAGGGATGGCACTTCTGGGCCTTGGGCTGCTGCTTTCAACAATGTGGCTCCTCCTGGGCAGGCTCATCTCTCTGCAATATCTGATTTGTGGCTGAGAAAAAGGCCTTGGATCAAAAAGGTTTTGATAAACCTCAAGGTTTTGAGGATGGTTATTATACTGGATTCCACATTTTAGAAAAACTTCCCTGGCACCAAATTCCCACTGGGAATTGTGGGAATTGTTGTGTTTGCAGAATCTCAGCTGAGCTCTCTGTGAGCCCCCAGGGTTTTCCTGCTCTCTCAGCCCCACTGGTGCCTTTGGACACACCAAAAGTTGTTTCTGGGTGCTGTTTTCTAGGAAATGCTGAGCCCCAAACCTCTCTGTGTCCCTGCCCTCGTCCCTGGCTGCCTCCCTTCATTTGGGAACAATTTCCTTTCCCCTGGAGCAGGAAGGTTTTTCAGCCACTGTTACAGCAGGGAAAGATTTTTCCCCTTGAGCTCTCAGAGTGGCTTTGAGTATTTGCCCCGACAGTTATAAAGTGGTTTGGATAAAGGCAAAGTATATCCTGCTGTTTTTTAACATGCTTTAAATATTTCTGGAAAATTTTGTATTAATCTGGATATTGGGAAAGGCTGGAAATAACCTTTATGCTGGAATTTTGTGCATGATGGGCATTTAACTTAAAATAACCCACTGGTACAGACCCACCCCTGCATTAATTTGATGAAGGCGATCTGTGCTAATGAATGAATTGTTGTCAAAATGATTTTTGAACTACTTCTTAGAAATACTGCATTTTTTGCTAATTGATGTTGTCAAAACTGAAATACTCAACAGCAATTTAGTTCCTTCATTTGACCTGATACTTAATCAATTAAGAGCATTTTTAATGGCATCTTTTAAATAGAAACAAATTGGATGGTCAAAGTATGCAGGCATATTTTCCAGCTATTTTCAGAGGCTTTTCAGGGTTAAGTAGTTCAAGATTGTTTTAAGGACCTAAGAAATAAAATAATTCCGTGGATATTACAGGGATTTAACTCCACTTCTCTGTTTCTGTCTCTGAGGCAACAGGAAAGAAAATGCTTTGGCCAGTGTCCCATCCCAATGGGATGAGTGTTATAAATATAAGCTATGTTTCAGAAAGTAAAACTTTTTTTCCATTTTGTTTTTGAAGATCAAATCTGACTCAAATCCTGAACTGAATTTCACATCTCAGAGCTTTGATAATTCTTTAATTTCATTTCGGTGGTGCTGCTCCAGACCTGATCAGGGGACAAATGGCACCACTCACAGATTCCCTGTGGAAAACTTCCTTTCCTCTTCCCAGTAGTGAGAGGAAACAAAACGTGACCAGAGCATGTCCTTGGCTCAGGACAACGTGGAGCTGCTGCTGCTTGGCCACAGCCACACAATCCTTTAGGCTGGAAGGGAAATCCAAGAGCCCGGAGCCCAACCCTGCTGAGCAGGTGGAAAATGATCTTTCTGGAAGAGACAGCCTGAGAAAAGGCTCCTTTTCCATCCAGATTGTTTCAAAATCCACAATTTGGGTATTTTCTGTGCCTCCTTTATTGCTTTTTTAGGCAAGGGTGTGTTGCAAACACAAAGGCTGTGACAGAGGGACTTGTGCCACACTCACCCCTGGGACTTCAGCTGAGCTTTCCCAGCTCTCCTCAGGGAAATCCAATATTTCATGAGCACTTTGTGGAGTGCTTCAATCCCTCTCCTCGGTGCGGGGAGGTGGCCACGTGTCTGCAGGGACACTTCACTCTGGGTTAGTGCTCCCTGCATCCCAAATTTATGCTCAGAACAGCTGGCTCATGGCAGAACTATGTGAGGCAAAGTTGAGAATGAGACGTGGAGCCTCCCTCTTCTCCAGCCTGATCTGTCACCCTTGCTCTAAATTTAAATCTGTGTTTACAGGAGGCAAAAGGGAAGAGGCAGGCAGTTAAATTAAGCAGCAAAACATCTTGTGTTTATTGTGAGGTCAGACAAGTGGATTTTCTTGTGCAGATGTGAGTTCAGGGCCTGGAGGATGATGTGCACGTTTGTGGGGGTTTGTGAACAAGTGAGCTCAGAGGGACCCTGCCTTGGCCTCTGACCCTTTTAGGGTTATTTTGGGCAGCAAATTCCATGGAATAATAAGGAGTGGGGCTGGAGCAGGGAGCTGGTGCAGCTTTCTCAGGAGGCTTTTCCAAGGGACACTTTGCTCTCCTTAGCCTGCGCTTCCCTGTCTGTCCCCTCCTCTAAGCCAGGCCCAGGAGCTGAACCTGGGAGCTCTGTCAAAACCTGGGCATTCCTTTCATTTCCTTCCTGAGATCCCAGGGGCAGGGATGAGCTGCTCCCAGCAGGGCTCTGGTGCCTCCCAGCCAAAGCCTGGCTTTGCTCAGATCCCAGGTTCTGCTCCTGCACTGATTCCAGCCCCAAACCTTGGAGGAAATTCTGGGGAATGTTGGATGGACATGGCCCAGTCCAGGGAGCTGCACTGAGCTGAGCTTTGCACATCCAGCTGAGTTTGTGAAATGGGCTGCTCCCCTTCAAGGGAATCCATCAGCTCCTGGAACTGATAAATAATATAAATATAAAACCCCTGATGGACAACTTCAGGTCTTTGCTGTTATCAGGATGGGAAGCTGCCCATTTTCACTCTTGGAGTACAAGAGCTGTTTATAAACTGATTATCAGAGCTTCCCAACCATAGAGAAACCAAACTGGAGCTGCTGAGAATGTGATTGAATGTCATTAAAGGAAATTAATTCTGGATAAAATTCAGGTTGAAGTTCTGAGACCTTAAGTTCTTATCTGGCCCAGCATTGTGCACACAGCAATCACTGTCTCCATCATTTCATATCTTGGGACTTAATGGCATTTGTATTGTAGTTTTATTAGAAAAGGCTGATGTCCACGTATTGATAAAGGAACTGAGGGGATAAATATTCATCCTGTTTATTGCATCTGCTTCTGATGCTTTTGTAGCAGAGGTGAAAGGAGAAAAAAAGGCACCCAGATAAAATTTTAATAATAATTTTATGGTTCTGCAACAGCAACTCTATTGTGAAATAATCTGTGTTGTGTTCCCAGCTTGTAACTCCCCATTGCTGCAGGTTTGTGCCCATTTTTATTGCTTTGAAACTTATTTATTGTCAGCTCCTGCAATTTATGAAGCAGGATCCAAAGGCAGGGAGAGTTTAGTGGATTCCAGCAGAGAATCTCTGTTGTGGGGTGGGTGAGATGATTAAGGAAGGTCTTGTACAGCTGATTGGTCCCAGTAATTTCATTAGAAAAGAGAAAGGCAACATGAACTTTGTGTAATTCCCACTCTAATACTGTGATCCGTCATTTCCATTAATGGCAACTTACAGATTTTGAAGTTAAAATGTTCAGTGTGAGCTCCCAAAAGGAATCCCAGCCCCAGGGCAGGGTTTTGTGCCCTCCCTGTGCAGGGTGGATGATGTGGAGCAGGGAGCACCTGGAGCAGGGCACATTTCCATGGAAAATGAAAACGTTTTGTCCTTCCCAGACCACCCCTCCGTGCCTGTGGTCAGCAGCAGCTCCCCCCCAGCACTTGTTTAATTCCATTCCTGCTTTTCATCCACTGGTCTCCAAACAATTCCCTGAATAAATCAGCAGTGCCACCTCAGCACTCGTGTGTCCCACTGGGAACAGCTCCCTGGCTGTGGCAGTCCTTGGAGAAGCTCTCATTAGTC